ACACGCCCTTGGTCAGGGCTGGGTGCCTGTAACCGAGGTGTGTGCCCTTGACTGGAATCGAACCCAGGACCCTTTGGTCCACAGGCCTATGCTCTATCCACTGAGCCAAACTGGGTAGGGCTCTCCTCTTTCTTTAATAGTATTTCCTTTCTGTGAGTTACTTTGGGTTTCATTTGCTTTTCCTAGTGTTTTAAGGTAGAAGTTTACTTTGGGAAAGCTACAAATATTTGTAAATTAAACAGTGTATTTCTAAATAACCCATAGGTCAAAGGAGAATCACAAGAGAAATTACAAAATATTTGAACTGAGTGTAAACAAAAGCACAATGTATGATTTGAGGCCTTTATTGCTATAAAATTCCCTCTGTGTACTACTTTAGGTATCTCCCACACTTTTTTTTTTTACCCCCACAAATTTTAAATAAGAAAAAAATATGTTTACCATCATATACTATATCTAGTGTGCTTCATTTCTGTGTGTAAATCCAGATTTCATTTGGTATGTTCTTTTTGCTTAGAGGACTTTTAAAAACTTCTTTTTCGTAATGTAGGTCTGCTTGTGGTGAATTATATTTGAGTTTTTGTGCCTTTGAAAAGGTTTAATTTTGTCTCCATTCTTTTTTTTAAGAAATATACTTTTATTGATTTCAGAGAGGGAGAGAGAGTAACATCAATGATGAGAGAGAATCATTGATTGGCTGCCTCCTGCACACCCCCCACTGGAGATCGACCCCACAACTCAGTCATGTGCCCTGACCTGGAATCAAACCGTGACCTCCTGGTTCATAGGTCAATGCTCAACCACTGAGCCATGCTGGCTAGGCATGTCTCCATTCTTTAAAAAGGTATTTTTTATTGATTTTTAGAGAGAGAGGAAGGGGGGGAGAGGGAAGGAGGGAAGGAGAGAGAGAGAGAAAGAGAGAGAAACATTGATGTGAGAGGGAACCGTCGATCCGCTGCCTCCTCCATGCCTTGTACCTGCGATCAAGCCTGAAACCTGGGTTTGTGCCCTGACTGGGAATCGAACCCACGACCTTTCCATGCATAGGACAACGCCCAACTAACTGAGCCATACAGGCGAGGGCTTGCCTTCGTGTGTTTTTTTTTAACCTTTATTGTTGAAAATATTACAGATGCCTTCCCCTCCCATTGACCCCTTCTCTCCCACACTCGTCCCCCCCTTGCCTTTCTTTTTGTTTGTTAATCCTCACCTGAGGATATTTTTCCATTGATTTTTAGAGAGAGTGGAAGGATCGGGGGAGAGAGAAACATCGATCTGAGAGAGAGAGAGACAGCGGTTGGTTGCCTTCCACATGCACCTGAGCAGGGCTGGGAATTGATCAAGCCTGCCACCAAGGTACGTGCCCTTGACCAGAATTGAACCTGGAACCCTTCAGTCCACAGGCCAGTGCTCTATCCACTGAGAAAACTGGCCAGGGCATTGCCTTCATTTTTGGAAGAAATTTCTCCAGGTATGGAATTTTAGGTTGATAGGTTTTTGTTTGTTTGTTTTGGGTTTTTTGGGGGGTTTTTGTATTTTTTTATATAGCTTACTGATTTTTTACAGGGAGGAAGGGAGAGGGATAGAGAGTTAGAAACATCAGTGAGAGAACCATCGATCAGCTACCTCTTGCACACCCCCCACTGGGGATGTGCCCGCAATCAAGGAACATGCCCCTGACCGGATTCGAACCTGGGACCCTTCAGTCCGCAGGCCGACACTCTATCCACTGAGCCAAACCGGTTAGGGCAGGTTGATAGTTTTTTTCTGAGTACTTTCAGGAAGTCTGCTGTTATTTCAAGAGTTCAAGCTATTCCTGCCCCATTTAGATGGTTCTTTTGCATCCTTGTTAATTCCTTCAGAGGCATTTGCTGATCATCGCTGGTGGTCTTTCTGCTGAGGACTTGAGCAGAGACCCTCTGCAGACCTTTGTGTCGCTCTCATTTCCATCCTGCCCCGGGTCTCTAGCTACCTTTGCCTCCTCAAGCTCCCGGTTCTTTCTCCTCAAGTCAAGGAGCCTTCCAGGCTCTGTCTGCATTCCCCTTCGCCCTTGTTCTAGAAACTCCAGTCTGTCCGTTGGGGCAAGTTTCTCCTTTCTAAGCAATCACAGTCCTGTGCTACGTGGATGCAGTCACGTGTTCAATGTCTGAAACCCGTTGTTTCATATGTTTTGTCCAGCGTTACTTAGTTATTTCAGGCAGGGAGGTAACTTGTCCCTGTTACTCCAACTTGGCTTAAACGTATTTTTGAGATTCTGTGTTGTATCAGTAGTTCATTCTTTTTTTTATTTTTTAAATATATTTTATTGATTTTTTATAGAGAGGAAGGGAGAGAGATAGAGAGTTAGAAACATCGATCAGGTGCCTCCTGCATATCTCCTACTGGGGATGTGCCCACAACCCAGGTACATGCCCTTGACCGGAATCGAACCTGGGACCTTTCAGTCCGCAGGCCGACGCTCTATCCACGGAGCCAAACCGGTTTCGGCAGTAGTTCATTCTTTCTCTTTCTGAACAGTATCCTAGTGTGTGGAAATATTGCAGTGTATTCATCTATTGATGGACTTTTTTTTTACCAATTTGAGGCCATTATGAATGAAGCTACTGTACCTGTGTATTGAATAGATATGTTTTCATTTGTCAGATTGTAAAACAGTAACAAATTTTTTAAAATGAGACTTGTGTTACTGTTATTGATATTATGCCTGTTTTGACTATTCAGGATTTTTGTTGTCATTATCATTAAAGATTCTCGCTGGGACAAGCAGTGACTTTACTGGGCCATGGTAACCGTGTCTGATCTGAACATGCTTCAGTTTTGCCAGTGCCATCGGTTTTACATTTTGCTGCTGTCAGTGTGCCTGCCTCCAATACCCTAGCTTCTGATCACTTCTGTGAGTTAGAAAGCAGGGAAATTGTGGTTATGGGTTATGAGTCTGTTAGTTTGAGGTCCTAAGATAAGACTTCAGGCCAACTGCTATTTTATTTTTTTTATCCTCACCGTAGGAGTGAGGATATTTTTTTCCAATGGTTTTTAGATTGGAAGGGAGGTGGGGAGCCAGGGAGGGGAGAGAAACATATATCTATGTGACAGAGACACTTCAATTGATTTGCCTCCCGCACGCACCCCAGCACGGGCCAGGGTTCAGACCTGCAACTCAGGTAGTACATGCCCTTGAGTGCCCTTGAGTGGAATTGAACCCACAGCCCTTGGGTGCACAGGCCGGTGCTCTAACCACTGAGCAATGCCACCCAGGGCAGGTCAGCTATTTTGTAGCTCTGACACATTTTGCTCCCATGGTCACTTCTGTCTTTGCTTAAAACTGCAGGAAGTCTGACTCCTATGAAAATACCCTATATGTTGAACTTCAGATATCTCTTACAAGAATAGAAATATAATTGGTATGTTTGATAACTATAATAGATAAATGAACAGTACATAACTATCAGGTTATGGCCTGTTAAATGATAGTATTTAAAGTTACCATCACTTTTATTTTGCTGAGTTTTCTGTCCTCGGTTATATCTCTTTAGTTATTTTAAATCTAGAACAGTCTCCCATGTTTATTTCCACGGTACTGAATTTTCGGACTAGAACAGTTGTCTTATGGATTGTTCACATGCCATATATATTTTTAAAATAACAAAAGCAAGCTTACATTGTGCATATTTTTGAAATTTTTGTTTTTTTTCACTTTAAAGCATCTTATGAATGTCTTTTCAGGTTCACATTTTCAGTGGTACATTCAAGGTTGTGTATAATCTGAGCTTAATAATATGCTTTTTCACATTCTCCCAGGACTCTTCAACACCATCTTTTCTTTCTTTTTTAAAAATATTTTCTTGATTTTTGCAGAGAGGAAGGGAGAGGAATAGAGAGTTAGAAACATCGATGAGAGAGAAACATCGATCAGCTGCTTCCTGCACACCTCCTACTGGGGATGTGCCCGCAACCGGTACATGCCCTTGACTGGAATCGAACCTGGGACCCTTGAGTTCTCAAGCCGACACTCTATCCACTGAGCCAAACCGGTTAGGGCAACACCATCTTTTCATTTCTTGAACCATCTACCATGGTGTCCAGTCATCCTCTCTACTTTTACCCGTTATGCAGCCTTACACCCACACAATTAGCGCCGATTATTTCCCTCATTTACACTGCCTCTCTAGTATTGCGTTTGCTTATTCAAGTCATAGAATTTTACAATTTGTCAAGTAATTATGCAGATGTGTTAAGAAAGAAAGAAGGCTGGCCTTCAAGTCCAAACTATATGACTGACAAGTTGTCTGATTTTGGCGAAGTCACTTCCTCTCTCTCAGACTAAATTTCCTCAGCTGTAAGATGAGGGGTGGGATTAAATGTCATGGAACAGCCATGATTATCAAGGGGTAAATATTGTAGACAAGTGAGTACGAGAGGAATTCAAAAGCACAGGTTTGGCCGAAACCGGTTTGGCTCAGTGGATAGAGCGTCGGCCTGTGGACTGAGGGGTCCTGGGTTCGATTCCGGTCGGGGGCATGTACCTGGGTTGCGGGCACATCCCCAATAGGAGATGTGCAGGAGGCAGCTGATCGATGTTTCTCTCTCATCGATGTTTCTGGCTCTCTGTCTCTCTCCCTTCCTCTCTGTAGAAAATCAATAAAATATATATTAAAAAATAAAAATAAAAAAGCACAGGTTTGTCACTGTTGGCTGGTATGTATCATGATCGTGATTGGATTGAAGCTGAATGGTTGTGAACGTACAAATGAAATAACAAGTGAAAGGTTCTGAAAATAATAAGTTATATAAATGTAACGTATTTTAGTAAACAAAATGGAGCAGGGCACCTGGGGCGAGAGAGAGAAGGCTGATTGTGTCATTATTAGAGTTTTAAAGACTGTTTTCGAACTTCAGCTGCTGTACTAGTGCTACTTGACACCTTTAAATTGATTCTACCCTCAGTTCTTGCCTGGGTGGGGATAATCGTAGGTCTAATCTCTTCTCCTTTGTTCTTACAGCTGTATTATCAAGTCCTAAATTTTGGAATGATTGTCTCCTCAGCACTAATGATCTGGAAGGGGCTAATGGTCGTAACTGGAAGTGAAAGTCCAATTGTAGTGGTGCTCAGGTAATTTTTTTTTCAAGGCATGGCGTTGCATGGCATTGCTTGGGAGAAGCGCTGAGACATTGAATCACTGTTGTATCATTCCTCTAGAAACCCCTCTCCTTCCCAGAAGAGGGCCTGGAAGAAAATGAGTTACTGTTTCTCAATTGTGAGAAATTCTCAACATGTTAGACTCTGCACATTCAGACCCCAAAGGGCTTCTGACCTCTCTCCAAAACATTTACTACGTGAGCTTTGTTTTCAGCACATCCCTTAAGAAGGTGTTTCAATGTACTTCATTTTCCTGAAGTTCTTCTCTGTCTTCTTGCTCTTCCCTTTGATACATTACGCTGGTATTTAGTTGTTTGTTTGCTAGATTATATCATCTGCAAAGAAATTGTTTTTCTGCAGCATGTTCTCAGTGCTGGTGCAGGCATCACTAATTATTTCCCTATTTCCTGCTGACCTTTAAATATCACTTCTAAATAGACTTCAGGAATCTTGAATATACTAATGCCATCTCTTTTTTTAAAAAAAGTATATTTTAATTGATTTCAGAGAGGAAGGGAGAGGGAGAGAGAGAGAGAAACAGCAATGATGAGAGAGAATCATTGATCGGCTGCCTCCTGCATGCCCCACACTGGGGATTGAGCCCGCAGCCTAGGCATGTGCCCTGACCGGGAATCAAACCCTCCTGATTCATAGGTCAGTGTTCAACCACTGAGCCACGCTGGCCAGGCTACTAATGCCTCTCTTAAAGTGACAAGTAGTACTGAATTTTTTTCTCCACTGTACTTCTTCCCCCTCCTTATATTCCTAATGTTAGTGCTTTAAAAACTTAATTTACTCATTTTTGGGAAATTACCACTTGGTTACTTAATTGAGTCATTATGGTTCTGTCCTATTTTGGGCTTAATTATAAAAGCTCTCCCAAGTCTTTTCTGGAGATAATGGAGTATAAACATAAAATAAACTGAATCATTAACATTATCTAGAGTCTAATTAATAGTACATTACTCTCAACAAGATGAATTTGACTCCTTCATTATTGTATAGGACAGTGGTCGCCAACCTTTCTGACCTCACGGACCACCATTGGTCCGAGGACCATCAGTTGGCGACCACTGGTATAGGATATACTTCCAGCAACAAGTGGTTGGACGCACTGGGTCTCCAGTGTCTTACTTTACCTTAATTCTGTTTTTATTAATAATCAAATGCAACTATAACTTTAGAGATCCCCAGAAATGTATGGGTTTTATTAGCTGGGAAAGTATAGAGAATTGGATCTCTGTTGCTTTCATTGTCTGACTACACCATTGGGCAAGTCACTTATTCACTGAACCAAAGTTTCATCAATGAACTGAAGGCCGGATCTAGATGATGTCAGAAGACCTTTCCAATTCTAAAATCATGTGGCCTGAAGTTCCCAGACAGTCCTGGATTCAGGGAGAGCTTCGGTTGGTGAAGTGTCCAAACACCGACAGAAGGGGAAGCCACACGAATTGGCTCTGTGGGGAACAGGTGTGGAGAGAGGGTCCAGGGAGGCACGTGTGGGTACTCTTCTGGGATAACTTCAGATTGAGTTTCCTTCAGTGGAGATGTTTAAAGACAATCAAATGACTCAGAACTTGCTCATTGATGGTTCTGAAAATAGCCCAGTTTTGTTATAGCTGGAAAATTTGTAATTAGTAGGGACTTGTGGTTAGATAAGTTATTTGGTAGCTAGGTTATGTATATACTAAACTTTTCTGATTGCTAATGTAGAATTAAGAAATTAGCCTGGCCAGTGTGGCTCACAGGTTGAGTGTCGACCCATGAACCTAGAGGTTACGGTTTGATTCCCGGTCGGCACATGCCCAGGTTGCAGGCTCAATACCCAGTAGGCGCACCCAGGAGGCAGCTGATCACTGATTCTCTTTCACTGATGTTTCTATCTCTCTCCCTCTCCCTTTCTCTCTCTCTCAAATAAAAAAAAACCCATATTTTAAAGAAAGAAATTAGCCCTAACCGGTTTGGCTCAGTGGATAGAGCGTTGGCCTGTGGACTCAAGGGTCCCAGGTTCGATTCCGGTCAAGGGCATGTACCTTGGTTGCGGGCACATCCCCAGTGGGAGGTGTGCAGGAGGCAGCTGATCAATGTTTCTCTCTCATCGATGTTTCTAACTCTCTATCCCTCTCCCTTCCTCTCTGTAAAAAAATCAATAAAATACATTTTTTTTAAAAAGGAAAGAAAAAAGAGACCAAGTCATTTTAGAAGAGACTCTAGTCAGGGCTGGAAGGAGCAGTCATTAGAGAAAGACAATCCATGTGATTGGGTGGCCTGGCCAGGGTTTCATGTTACTGTAAGGAATATAATTTTTATCTGAATCAAATATGCCTCAGAAGGCTCAGGCCAACTGAGAATCCACTTTTAGGACCTTTGTGAAGCCATTAGAGATAAAGACAAATACTTCTTATTTATTTTATTAACTAAAGTTTCAGGGAACATTGAAAACTTTTCACAGAGCTGAAGCCAATTTTAAAATATTTCAATAATTTATACATAACATCTTATAAAATTGTTCATGATTGATGTTTAAATTTAAAAGTATAGTTTAATCAAAAAATATAAGAAGGTTACTAATAATTTATTTAATGTTTAAAAAGTTTTCCCTGGTCCTGGCCGGGTAGCTCAGTTGGTTAGAGCATCATCCCAATATGTCAGGGTTGTGAGTTCTATTCCTGATCAGGGCACATATGAGAATCATCCAATGGATAAATGAATAAATGGAACTACAAATCAATTTTCCTTTCTCTCTCTCTCTCTCTCTGTCTCTCTCTCCCCTCTCTATCTCTAAAATTAATAAAAAATAATAAAAATAAATAACTTTCTCCTGGTTTCTTTCTTTTTTAAATCCTCACCTGAGAATATATTTTTACTGATTTTAGACACAAGGAAGAGAGAGAGAGAATCATTGATGTGAGAAACATTGATCAGTTGCCTCTGACACACACACACACCCCCGAATGGGGATCAGACCAGCAACCTAGACATGTACCCTGACTGGGAACTGAACGCACACCTTACGGTGTACAGGTTGATGCTCCAACCAACTGAGCCACCCAGCCAGGGCTCCCCTGATTTATTCATTTAATGGTCCTCTCACTGCACACTTTTATCTGTGTTGTGTTTTTTTTTAATATATTGATTTCAGAGAGGAAGGAAGAGAGAGATAGAAACATCAAGATGAGAGAATCATTGACTGGCTGCCTCCTGCACGCCCCCTACTGGGGATCGAGCCCACAAACCAGGTATGTGCCCTTGACCAGAATCGGCGGACTGACGCTCTATCCACTGAGCCAAAACCAGCTAGGGCTTATCTGTTTAATTGTCATCTATAGCTGAACTTTTAAATCTGTTCATCTCTCATCTACCTTTCTTCCCTGGTATCTAAACTGTTTTCACCCCACACTGGACACTTGCACCTGCACGTCAACCAGGCACCTGGAACCCCATGTAATGAAAAGTGAAGTTCATCTTTTCTCACAGCCCTGTTCTTTTTCCTCATTTTTCTGTGGCTATCACTGTCATCTACTCAGTTGCCAGTGTTAAAACGTAGGAGTCGTTCTGTCATATCTAGTTGGCCATCAGGTTTGTTCTTTTCCTGATCTCTGTTCTACCCTTTATAAGTCGTCCCCCTGCTGTTGTTCTATTTCAGGCCCTCATCATTTCCTCCTCAGCAGCCTGGGCTGTTGCAGTGACCTTTAAAAAACTGCTTTTACAATCAGGAAAAAAGTTAGTATGTTTTCATTATATGAAATGTTGAAAAAACACACACAATAATCTAGATGAAACTAAGTCACCCATAGCTCTGGGATATAATTGTTAACACTCTGGTCTCTTTTTTCACATAGTATTTCTTATATAATTGAGGTAATTCTGTATATACATCCTTTTCTCTGTATTTTTGCCCTTATTCTCCTGTGTCTATTTTTTAAATAAAACTTTTAATATTTGCAAAATGTGAATTCTAAGTAATAGCCTGCACAACTGGTCTCCAAATCTACCTTCTCATCCATTCTACTTATTAATTCAATAAATATTTGAATGACTTCTGTATATCTAAAGCTTCTGAAGTGATGGTTCTTAAATGCAAATATTATTGTAATACTTTGTACTTAAATTTCTAGAGTGACTCGAAGGCAGTTTGGCACAGTGAGAGTGGATTTCACTGGACTCCCTTGGTTCAGATCTCTCCTTTATCATTGCCTGGATGTTTAACTTCAGGCCTCCCTAAGCCTCAGCCAGTCTCCTTATGTAGAGAGTCCAGAGTCTTCAAACAGAGAACACTGTCTTGATTTTTATCCCTTGTCTATCCATTTTCTTCTTACTAAATCTATTATTATTGCAAACTGGAGCTTGAGTTTCTGAAAATATTACTGATTGCCTTCTTCCTCATGGAAAGAAAAGGTTCCTTATGAATGCACATATCTTAGGACCTTTGAAGCACTTGGTGAGAGATGAGTTTTTCCTCTATGGAAATTAATGCTTTGCTTATTTCTGAAATTCTGAGGCAAAAATCTCTTCTCTCGTCCTTGGTTTTCTCTCTTGTTTTTCTTTTTAAAATAAATAAATTGATAACACAAGCATTATCTCTGGAGCTGACTGTTCTTTGACTTGAGCTCTTACTTCTTCGTGGTTTGAAATCATAAGGTCATCTTGGTCTGTAACTTTATAAATGGCAGGAGACGTTCTCATTTGAATATTTGAATGTGTTTATTGTTTTCAGAAGCAGTGAGGATAAGAGCAGTGATTATAAAGTTCATTCTGTTTGTCACTTGAAATTTTAAAAGGTTAAAGAATCAGTAGCATTGCCCTTTTCAAAGATTTAAGCTCCGCTGAATAGTACTGCTTGAAATGGAAGTAGTTAATAAATGCTAACAACTAAAGAGACCTTTAGTATAACTCCTTAGTCTGAGGAAACCATATTTTCAGAACAATATACATTTATGTCGTCAATATATTTGTTAAGGTATTGGGTATATTTCAAAGGTGATACTTGAGGTTATTTTGTTGAATATCTAATTTTGAAAGTAAATTTAATCTCTGACTTTCTCTTTGCTGTATTCTTCTGTCTCTCCCAGTGGCAGCATGGAACCTGCATTTCATAGAGGAGATCTTCTCTTCCTAACAAATCGAGTGGAAGATCCCATACGAGTGGGAGAAATTGTTGTTTTTAGAATAGAAGGAAGAGAGATTCCTATAGTCCATCGAGTCTTGAAGATTCATGAAAAGTATGTGCAAACTATATATTTTTTGTTTTAAAATATTTTTATCTTTTGGTGTTTACAGTATTTAATTTTGATAGCCTTAAGGTTAAAACAGGGTGGAAACTCCTAGGTCCTTCTTTCAATTCATTTTTATGAATGTCTGCAGGCTTGGTGAATATTTGAAAACGAAATTATTTATTAATTCATTTCTTTCCCTGGAGGTTTTTCTTGGTTCCCAACCAGATCAGTAGCCCTGTATATTTCAGAGCAGTAAACAGCTTAATGGGCCTATTTGTCTACATAAGAACATTCCTTTCAAATGATACAGGCCTGGCTGTCACTATGAGCTACTCGCTTAAAATGGCATCAGTCTCATCAAGCACCAGAAATCGTTTTGCCTAACACTCCACCCCGCATGATCAGCTCTTATAATCTCACATGCCCCTGTCTTCCGGAACGGTCCCTAAGCCTCGGAGGGGATAGAGGAACACAGCTGTCACTTTTTGTGACATCAGTTGTCCACATGGTAGACAAAGGCCACAAGAACAGTGTACTGTTATTCTGTGTGTGTGTGTGTGTGTGTGTGTGTGTGTGTGTGTGTGATGTACATAACCCCCGTGTGTGTGTGTGTCTGTGTTTGTGTGTGTGTGTGTGATGTACATAACCCCTTCCCCCATATGACATAAAGGTTAACCCCAAATAGAATCTTCTGATATAATCAATGAGGAAGCCCCAATCTTTTAAAAAAATTTTTTAAGGCAGTCTAACAGACATTTCAAATAAGAGTGAATATACCAACTTTTCCAAATTCCATAGAAAATTTCTAAAATCTAAATTGCTCTTTTAAATGTAGATACTTGCATTTTTGAATTAAAAAGGACATATGTTAAACTTTTAGAGTCACGTGGGGCTGAGGGGGAGCATAGGAATGAGTAAATATTTCACCTCTGGGTCTCAGTTCCCTGATCTGTAATATAGAGAGTTTTAGGAAAGTGCTTTATGAGATCTCTGAGTTCTAAGCCTTCAAATCTGTGGTATTTCTAGTTAAGGAAAACTTTTTGAGAAGGGTAGGAAAGAAAGAAATGAAGGAAAAAGCAGGTGTCCTGGAGGATGCACAGAGGGGACGTGAAATGGTGGGGTTCATGTAGGTTCTTGAGTATGAGGGAGCCCTAAATAAATATTCCTGTTCGACCACCTCCAGCGTAGTTTATCTCCTCCACCTAAAGACGAGGCAACTGTCAGTTGTTGATTTTTGCAAATCCCCATAAACATTCCAGTTTAGAAGAGTTATCTTCACTGTAGAATAAAGATCTGACTGCTCTTTTTTCAGAATCGAGTATATATTTTGAAAGAGATCATTTTTAAATGGCATTCTACTGTTAACAAGGAAAGGCTAACTACATTTTTTTGGAATTTATTTTGGAATTGCAAAGGTTTATTCAGTATGGGTAGCATTTTCCAGATTCTTCAATTGAGTTTGGGGTGTTTGTTCTCAGCACTGCCTGTTGTGGACAAAGCTGAACCAACTTTCCCCAGAGTTTGTCAGAGAAAACCAATTTAAACCATGGCCCTGCTTTGGGTAGAGCAAATACTGTCCATTTTTATTTGTGATCCTTTGAAATCCAGTGAGTTTTTTGTTTGTTTTTGTTTTTCATTCTTTGTTGTTGAAAGTATTACATATAGTATTACATATGTCTCCTTTTTCCAGTGAGTTATTAAATTTTAAAACAGTTCATCTTGTTTCAGGGCAAGTTCATTGGCAGATGTTATATCAACTACAGATTCCTTAAATTTTAAAAGTAATTAAAAAAACACTATTTTTTTATTGATTTCAGAAAGGAAGGGAGAGGGAGAGAGAAACATCAATGATGAGAGAGAATCATGGATCAGCTGCTTCCTGCACGCCCCCTAGTGGGGATGGAGCCCACAATCCAGGCATGTGTCCTAACTGGGAATCCAACTGTGACCTCCTAGTTCATAGGTTGACACTGAACCGCTGAGCCACACTTGCCGGCCTTAAAAGTAATTTTTTATCAGGTTTTTTAATATTTTATGATGTGTTGTACTGTGTAATCTGGGCGGTTTGGTGGTTTCTTTCCGACTTGAGATGCCTTCAACTTGCAGATGCTATTAATAGTCTCAAGTTTCCCATTTCCGTCTTAGTTTCACAGAGACTAAAATACCTGGTTGTAATAATCATCTTGATTTAATGGTATTGGCATTGTTCTTAAATATAGGACCCAATGACAAACACAGTGGATTAAGTCTTGTGTAGTCAGTCTGTCCTGGGTGTTTTCAGGCTGGTTTTTGCACTGTTGTTCATTTCTTTCAGAAGCAATAACATCCTGAGCTTTCAGAAGACTAGAGGTAGGAATTGTTCAACTGACCTCTCCTGTTTATTCCTCCCTTCCTCCCCCACCTGCTTCTTCTGTAAGGTGCCTTTGCAAATCTGTAAATAGCATATAAAGCTCTTTTTTCATGTATCTCCATCTTATGAACATTCTTATTACATGTGTATTGTTATACATGATGCTGTGTAAATTGAAAAAAAATACAGAAAACAAAATCACATGTAATCCTAGCACCCAGAGATAATGTTAAATTCGGGGTAAACCTCTTTTTGTTTTATAAACACGCTGCATAGTTTTTTGTTTTGTTTTTTAATATATTTTTATTGATTTCAGAGAGGAAGGGAGAGGGAGAGACAGATAGAAACATCAGTGATGAGAGATCAGCTGCCTCCTGCACGCCCCGCACTGCGGATTGAGCCTACAGCTTGGGCATGTGCCCTTGACCAGAATCGAACCTGAGACCCCTCAGTCCACAGGCCGACGCTCTATCCCAGGGGCCCTCAAACTATGGCCCGCGGGCCACATGCAAATACAAATATTGTATTTGTTCCCATTTTGTTTTTTTACTTCAAAATAAGATATGTGCAGTGTGCACATAAGAATTTGTTCATAGTTTTTTTTTAAACTATAGTCCGGCCCTCCAACAGTCTGAGGGACAGTGAACTGGCCCCCTGTTTAAAAAGTTTGAGGACCCCTGCTCTATCCACTGAGCCAAACCAGCTAGGGCCACACTGCATAGTTTAACTTTCTATGATGCAATTATTTCCTCCTTCCTACCATCGCAGTATTATGATGGTTAAATTGTAAGTGTGTTGCACTCCTTAGAGGTGGATAATGTTAAATATTTGGTCCCTGTTTTAGCAAGGGGAAAGTTTGATATTAATGTATCAAACTTTGATATTACTATATCGGCCAGTATTTTGGGCCTGTGAGTTGTGAGGTACTGGAGTCGGTCTAATAGGAGCTGGTTGCCACCAGAGAACATTTGTTACACCGTTAAGTAGATGAAGGAGACCTTCCTTTCGCGAGCAGCTATAGTGGCCTCTCCTGACTGTGTCGGGGCAGGGGGCAGAGGCAGAGGAGATTGGATGTGCTTGGTGGGTTGCTTGGCAAATCAACTATTTGGAAATAACCCACCTCTCCCATAGCATCCCTTTCCTTTGCTGGGAAGTCTCCCGTGTCCCAATCATCCTCTCCTATTTGGTTTTACTTTTCTGCCTTGGTGGTGTTGCTATCTTCATGGTTGAACTGACTCGCTTCCTGCGGCTCCTGGCGTCCATGCTTGCAGCTCGCCCCTCTTGGCACCTGTCCTTTTACCCGCCAGCATTTTTCAGACGTTCTTTCCTTTACGGAGTTGTCAGCTGCACGTTGTTTTTCTCTGCATACATTTGCATTTTTTCTTGTTGGAACCTCATTGTTCATGTGACTGTTTGCACCTCGCTGTTTTTGGTGTTTGCAACGCCTCCCAATTTAGTTCCATCTGCAGATTTAGTGTCTAGTGAGCCAGTTTCTGGCTTAGCATCTCAGTGAATACTAGTCAGTTAAGAGTCTGGAGCTAATTTTCTTCTTTCTAGTATGATGACTAACCCAGACTCACTTGAACTAATTTTAAGATGGTTTTTATCAACTATAAAATGTACTTTGCTTTTAGTTAAAATGTAAAGTTACTAGAAACCTCATGGTTTATTTTATTTTAATATATTTATTGATTTCGGAGAGGGAGAGAGAGATAGAAGCATAAATGATGAGAGAGAATCATTGATTGGCTACCTCTTACAGGTCCCCTACTGGGGATCGAACCATGACCTCCTGGTTCATAGGTCAATGCTCAACAATTGAGCCACACCAGCCAGGCCCGCATGGTTCTTTAGAAGAATTAAACTAGTAAATTTCTGATTAAGTAAGATACTGTTATTTTTGCTCTTTTTTTTTTTTTAATATGGATAATTTCTAACATGCATAAAAGTAGACAAAGCAGTACAGTGAACTCCCAAAAGCCTGTTACCCAGTCCCAATAATTATTTTTTTTAAATACAGTTTTATTGATTTCAGAGAGGAAGAGGGAGAGATAGAAACATCGATGATGAGAATCATTGATTGGCTGCCTCCTGCACGCCACCTAGTGGGGATCGAGCAACCTGGGCATGTGCCCTTAACTGGAATCGAACCCAGAACTCTATCCACTGAGCAAAACCAGCTAGGGCCCAATAATTATTAATCTATGGCTAATTCTGTCCCACGCACACTAACACTTTTCCCCCTATCCTGCATGTATTATTTTGAATCAAATCATAGATATCACGTCATGTCATAGGTAAATATTTTAGTAAACACTTATGAAATATAATCAGTGAGCTTTTTTAACAGTTTGAATCCAGATTCAGATAAAGGTCCTCCGTTGAAATTGGTTGATATGGCTTTATAGTGTCTTTTATTTAATATGTAAATTCCTTTTCCAACATTTTGTTCTTTGCAAGTTATTGATTAAAGAAACTGGGTCATTCTGTTTCATATAACCTTCATTTTGCCTGTAGGGTAGTTTAATGTGTTCCTTTGCTCTGTGTATTTCAAAAATATTAGTGGTTTGTCTTTGTTTTAATATAAAAATGAGATTATTCTGCATATACTATTTTATAATCTTTTCTTCACTTAATACAGTTTGTATGATCTTCAGTGCATTAGTCTTCTGTAACATTGTCCTTAATGCTTGTTTAGTATTTCAACTCCTGAATGTTAAACTTTTAGCTTGTTTCCAGTTTTTCCCTATTATAAACTACACGGCTATAAACATCCTTTTAGCTAAATAAATAATTCTTTTTGATCTTGGGAATGGTGATTAAAACACCACAGTTCCACAGGAATTTTTGGTTAACAAGAGCAAATTTTATGCTTTGAAATGACATCGAGGTATTTGATGAGTTGGGTTTTCTCTTATTCTTTTAAGGCAAAATGGACATATCAAGTTTTTGACCAAAGGAGACAATAACGCGGTTGATGACCGAGGCCTCTATAAACAAGGACAACATTGGCTAGAGAAAAAAGATGTTGTGGGGAGAGCGAGGGGGTAAGTATAGAGGGGAGCACTTGCTAAGTTTTTCATGTTGCTTGAAACCTGGCCCCCTCAATCTTATCGCTGATCCTATACAATTGACATAATGGTCGGTCCTGGTTCTGTCAAATCACCTTGTATCCTCTGAAAAGGTGGGCTAATTAAATGCCTCTAAAGCTTCAGGTAGCCCTGGCCAGTTTTGCTCAGTGGATAGAGCGTCGGCCTGCAGACTGAAGGGTCTCAGGTTCGATTCTGGCCAAGGGCACATGCCTGGGTTGCAGGCTCGATCCCCAGTAGGGGGCGTGCAGGAGGCAGCCGATCCATGATTCTCTCATCATTGATGTTTCTATCTCTCTCTCCCTCTTCCTTCCTCTCTGAAATCAATAAAGAAATATATTTTTTAAAAATAAATAAAATAAAAAATAAAGCTTCTGGTATACTGCACCGGAAGGGCGGAAAGGGAGACAATAAAAGAATAGAATATTAGTGATGAGATGACGAATTGGAGTGTCGGCGTTAAAAATTCATTTGTTTAATCCAGTGACGAAATGTTACTGGGCACCACCCATGGACTCTGATGTTTGTACTCTGCTGGGCTCTGGGGATCCCCAGCAGTTTTAATCCCGCTTCATGAAACTTACATTTCTTTTTTTTTTTTAATTTTTTTTTTAAATATATTTTATTGATTTTTTACAGAGAGGAAGGGAGAGAGATAGAGTTAGAAACATCGATGAGAGAGAAACATCGATCAGCCGCCTCCTGCACATCCCCCACTGGGGAAGTGCCCGCAACCCAGGTACATGCCCTCGACCGGAATCGAACCCGGGACCCTTCAGTCCGCAGGCCGACGCTCTATCCACTGAGCCAAACCGGTTTCGGCGAAACTTACATTTCTTAAGTATTTACTCAATCAGCATCTTAAAGCGTTCATCTAAATTAACTTGTTCATATTAATTTACACCATACTGTTTTATTTCTGGTCTTGAAATTATTGCGGTCACATGAAATTTACAAGTCATATTAAGCCTGTTTATTTCAGATTTTAACAGGAGAACAAATCAGTGGAAGACAGGAATTGTAAGTGATTGGTATAAGGAAGTATGGGATTGTAACTACCTTCATGTTTTTAATAATATTAACAATAACTGACATTTATTAGGGCTTCCTATATGCCAGCGATTCATTCTAAGTGCTTTGCAAGTATTACCTTTTTTTAACCTCAGAACAACCCTAACATTTCCATTCTGTAGATGAGGAAACACAGACGAGTTGGTTGCTTGTCTGAGGTCACACTGGTGGTAAGTGGCCGATGACCTCAGAGCCCGCTTTAACCATCGCACCCGAATCACAGGCGTCACAGCTCTGAAACGGGTAGCTGCTGGCTTGCAGTGTCCAGAGGCCACGTGACACTCTGACCGCTGTGAGAGCACCTGCTCCCCTCACCTGGGATGGACAGTGTGAACTCAGAGTGGTTCCTCTAGTGCAGCGATTTTCAACCTTTTCCACCTCACAGCACACACAAACTAATCAATAGAATTCTGCGGCACACCCAAAAATACATCATATTTCTTGCCAATCTGACAAAAAATAGGTTTAATTTTGACTCGTTCGCAAGGAATGGATTGTTGCCTGTCGTCATTTTTTTATTTGACAATCTAAGGGCAAAGAGATCAATGCCTCTGACTAAATAATCAGGTATTGCATGTTTTTAAAATTCTTGCAGCACACCAGTTGAAAGTCGCTGCTCTATCGAACAGGCCACCACGCTGAGGAGCTGGGGTCCCCTAGAGAATTGAGTGCAAGTTATTAAGTGAGAGCTGCCACAGTTGCAGCATGAGGTTGCTCAGTTTGGGGAAGAGAGATCTGATCAGAATAAGCACCATGTGCTTTGTGCCCTGCAGTGCTGGGGGCTTTCTGCGCATGCCGCCAGTTCCCGGGAGCTTCATTCCCATGGAGAGCCAGACGTACCTTTACCATCCACATAGGATCATCTGTGTTCCTGAGAAATCATTGTCCCCGTCTCTCTCTGTTCCCAAGACGCTGCTATTATGGTTCTTCACACTCATCAACCTCTTTGAGTCTTTTTGTTTATAGATTCATGTAGAAACATAAGGAAAAAATAGTCATCAGAAAGCAAAGTCACTTTTCTTCTGCTCCCCCTCCATAAATATTTAACTTTTTGATATATATATTTTTAGCCTTTATGTATAAAGAGGTGGATCTGAGTGTGTGTGTGTGTGTGTGTGTGTGTGTGTGTGCGCGCATGCACGCATACTGAAAACAGTTTGTGTACAGGCAAAGAATGGCCACAGTTTATAACCTTTTTTCATCCCCCAGAGTTATCAGTATCTTTACAAATAAAAATGTATGTCCATATCATCATTTTCAAAGCTGTACGCTTCTCCTCTGTGTGGATAGACCACATTTTTAGTTAGACAGTCTCCTGCTGTTAGAAGCTTTGATTTTTTTCCCATTTTTAAAGATTATGAACAATGTTAGGATGAGCATCCTTGTTACATATGTTTCAGTGCTTCTGCCCAGTCATTTCTTCACAGTCAGTTCTCAGAGGTGACGCCTAAAGCTTTTGATAAATTTTGCCACAGCGTTTTATTTGTACTCCTCCGAGTATGACCGTGTTCCTTTATCTGGTCTTCATCATTAGGTGCTTAATGCAGTTCTGTCTGCTCACTTGGGCCCCTGTTTGCGTAAAAGATGCATCACCCTTCCTGAACTATACACTGTGTTATTTCTTAAAATTCCAACATTGAAGATATAGACCTCTCTGTGGCTTTAATAAAAAAAAATGAAATAGTCCGGTACTCTCTGAAGTAAGTAACTTTCCGGGAGGCGTGAACAGCAGGGCACCGGATCTTAACTGCACAAATTCACTTTCCACTGATTATGCCACCACTTACCTTGACACTTACAGGGGCATATCACCTCCTTTTGTGGAAATTGTGTTTATAAAACCCTAAACTGATATTTCGGAGTCACACTGTACCCAGACCTTGAGGCTAGAGCTTTCTCGCAGATCATTCTGTAACTGGTACAAATGTCTTTATGCATTAAAAACAATACCTTTTTCAAACAGCTGCCTGCACACTAAAAAAATTTTACACTTTCAAGCCCAGGGCCCAAAATAAAACAAGTTTAAAAAACGTTGTTGAGATATAATCCATATATTGGGGTATAAAATTCATCATTTTAAAGTGTACAATTCATTGGGTTTCATTATATTCACAAGGTGTGCACAGCCATCACCACTGTCTAATTCCAGAACGTTTCCACACCCAGAAGGAAAGCTCTGTACTCATTTGCAGTCACTCCCCATCCCCTTTTCCCTGCAGCCCCTGGCAACCACTAATCTTTCTGTCTCTATGGTTTGCCTTTTCTGGACATTTTATATAAACAGAACCTTAATCTTACACTAGGCAGTCTTTTACATCTGGCTTCTTTCACATAGCATAATATTTTCAAGGTTCATTCATGTCGTAACATGTAGTAAAAACAATTTTAGAAAATGAAACCAGCCCTAGCCAGTTTTGCCCAGGGGTTAGAATGTCGGCCCGCCGACTGAAGGGTCCTGGGTTCAATTCCAATCAAGGGCCTCGGTTGCAGGCTGGATCCCTGTGCAGGAGACAATCAATCAATGTGTCTTTCACATTGATGTTTCTCTCTCTTTGTCTCTCCCGCTTCCTTCCACTCTGTCTAAAAATCAGTGGAAAAAATAGGGTTGGGTGAGGATTAACAAAAAAGAAAATGAAATTAATACTGAACCAACGAGGTATTTAATAGGGGTGATTCTTCCTAAATTCAGGGAGGGAGTTGAAAACCACGAGAGAACCTGTTACTCAAAGAAGAGTTGACAACAACAGGAGAAAGAGGGAAGGCTGGTGGGCCAGGGAATAGAGAGATCTTGACATTGAAAAGAGGAATAGCCGTAGCAGGTTTGGCTCAGTGGATAGAGCGTCGGCCTGTGGACTGAAAGGTCCTGGGTTCGATTCTGGTCAAGGGCATATGCCCAGGTTGTGGTCTCAATCCCCAGTAGGGGGCGTGCAGGAGGCAGCTGATCCATGATTCTTTCTCATCATTGATGTTTCTATCTCTCTTTCCCTCTCCCTTCCTCTCTGAAATCAGTAAAAATATAAAAGAAAAGAGGAATAAAAATATATGGAAGGAACAGAGTAATTGAGCTCTCTATTGGCTGAACTCAGTTTCATGGATGAGGCTTTTGAAACATACTCTATACTTAACTTGAAACAGATTATTTTGGGGTAGCAACAGTGAACCTTTTTAAGTCAGCTATGGTAGTCCAGACTTCCCAGATATAGATCCCTTGTAACATCTGACAAAAGTATCTTCTGCCACAACCTCAGCAGGTACTTCTTCCTTCTGAGGCTACTTCCTGGGATCAGCACCCAGGACTTCCATATCTTCACACTCTGCCTTCTAGATGGTGACTCGGCACAGGCTGGTGTTGGAGGTGGCCTCGTGGGTGGCATCTGGTTTACTTATGTTAAACCTTCTGCTTTTTACCAACTCGCTTTAGCAGACTTTTTCTGTGCAGGGAGGGAAAAAGCGCATCTGATTTGAATTGAAGGTGACTACTGATAGCATTGTGCACTCTGTGCTGTCTCTGTCCACGGAGGGAAACGGTGATATGGATCATTAAGTCCTTTGTTTGACTTCGGACTGCCTGTCATAGGCTATCTTACATTTGGTTATGTGACTCCCAAAGATCAGGGTACTTCCATTTCACTCAGGCTGGCAAAGAGAAACCAACCTTAGGGGAAAGAATGTGTCCATGGAAAACTCCCAGGCAAGACTATGTGATTACTGGGAGCCACAGGTTGTGATGGTTTGAGCATCAGTGTTGTAAGGAGATAACAGCGGAAGTCTCTACCCATGAGAATGGTTGCTGACTGATCATCGGATCAGACTTAGCAGCCTGATACTGTCTTCATAGAAATCACAGATGCTTTTATTGCTTTTAATCTGCATTTTACCGTCAGGCATTTGCCTTTACATTCTTAAATTAGGTGATTTACCTTTACGGAGAGCTGTTGCTTTCATGAAGGTGTTGTAAATGAGACACAAGAGATTACATTAAAGAGTTGTTACATTAAAAAGAAAATAATGTACATTAAAAAATACAGAGAACTGCCCTAGCCGGTTTGGCTCAGTGGATAGAGCGTTGGCCTGTGAACTGAAAGGTCCCAGGTTCAGTTCCAGTCAGGGGCACATGCCCGGGTTGTGGGCTTGATCCCCAGTGGGAGACTTGCAGGAGGCAGCCGATCCATGATTCTCTCTCATCATGGATGTTTCTATCTCTCTCCCTCTTCCTACCTCTCTGAAATCAATAAAAAAGTATATTAAAAAATAAAATACAGAGACCCTCTCTCTGCCCTCGTAGCTTAGCTGTGCCATTCTGTACTGACTGTTATTTTCAGCTCTTAGAGGTTGTCCCAGGCTGGAAACTAAAGTGTGAACCCTCCAAGGGGATAATATTTGCCACCACATGTCTGTTCCACGCATGTCATGTGCCAGAACATGCTTCTTGAACTTCGGTGTGCAGAGGCATCATTAGGGCCCACCTTCCAGAGATGCTCCGACTCAGTAAATCTGGAAAAGATACAAAGATCTGCCTTTTTTAATGTTTTCATTGATTTCAGAGAGAGAAAGTGAGAGAGTTAGAAATGTCAATGATTGACTGCCTCCTGCGCACCCCCTACTGGCATCGAGCCTGCCACCCAGGCATGTGCCCTGACCCGGAATCGAACCATGACCTCCTGGTTCATAGGTTGACGCTCAACCACTGGGCCACACTGACTGGGCATGATCTGCATTTTTAACAAGCTATTCCAGTGATTCCGACAGAGGAAGTCTAGATTTTAAGAAACATCAACTTGTCCTAGCTGGTTTGACTCAATGGATAGAGCGTCGGCCTGTGGACTGAAGGGTCCCAGGTTTGATTCCAGCCAAGGGTACATGCCTGGGTTACAGGCTTGATCCCCAGTAGGGGGAGTGCAGGAGGCAGCCAATCAATGATTCTCTCTCATCATTGATGTTTCTCCCTCTCCCTTTCTCTCTAAAATCAATAAAATATATATATATATTTTTAAATATATTTTATTGATTTTTTAGAGAGGAAGGGAGAGGGATAGAGAGTTAGAAACATCGATGAGAGAGAAACATCGATCAGCTGCCTCCTGCACACCTGCTGGGGATGTGCCCACAACCAAGGTACATGCCCCTGACCGGAATCGAACCTGGGACCTTTCAGTCTGCAGGCCAACGCTCTATCCACTGAGCCAAACCAGTTAGGGCAAAAATCAATAAAATATATTTTAAAAAAAGAAAAGAAACATCAGTTTGTGGGCATCAAAGTCAAATGCTGCAGAATAAAGGAAGGTTGGAGCTGAGACTGGTCTGCTGCATACAGTGATTTCAACTGTTCTAGAAAGTTCCAGGATTAAGAGAGCCAAAGCCAGATTACAGGTGGTTAATAAAGGGGAGGTGAGGAAATCTTAAGTACTGGACTAGGGCTCTTACACTCACTTTTCGGACACTTAGCATGAAGTACCTTGTAATGTTCTGGCTGTGTTTACCTTGTCTCCCCAACTAGTTTGACAATTCCTAAAGGTAATGAGGACAACCCAGCCCCCAGCACTGAGTCAGCAAATAGATGTCTAAGACTCGGATCCGGTACTGGTTCTGCGCAGGAGCCACGTGCCGTGGGCCTGAGCATCTGTTTCCTCATCTATAGAATGGCGATGTTCCTAACTTCCCTATCACTGGGCTGTTGAAAGGATCTATAGGACGACGGTATATACAAATGGACTCTGTGAACTGAAAATTAATTTTCTGTGGAAGATACTGAGAATGCTCAGTAAATGATAACTACATAGGAAGTTCTTAACAATCAATTTTTTGTTTGTTTCTTTGTTTAGATTTGTTCCTTATATTGGGATTGTGACAATCCTCATGAATGACTATCCTAAGTTTAAGGTAAGATCCTGTACTTTATGTCTCTGGATCTATTTTTGGTTTTGGGGGGTTTTTGTTGTTGTTCATTAGAGACATAGAAGCATCGAACAGACTGTCAAACCTCAGAGGGGAGGGAGGGCAGATGGGAAGAGATCAACCAATGAACTTGTGTGCCTATATGCATAACCCGTGGACACAGACAATTTGGGGGTGAAGGCCTGGGGTGGGGGCCAGGGGCAGGCTGGGAGAGGCCAATGGGGGAGAGGGGTCTGTAATACTTTCAGCAATAAAGACTTAAAAAAAAAAAAGATCATGTACTTTATGTTTCATTAAAACTGTGATCTTTTGCTCAATTTAGGGAACTAATTAAATGGACCCCTAAAAGAGAAGACTAATTGGGTAGTTGAATGTTGTACTCTGGTCACAAAGGCCAGTTTATTTGTTAGGCCTGAGGACTCGAGAGCCTGTAGGCTCCCCTGACTGGCTGTTTCTCTTCCAGTATGCAGTACTCTTTCTGCTGGGCCTCTTCGTGCTGGTTCATCGTGAGTAAGAAGCTGCCTTGCTGTTCCTGGGAGGTGCCGTACTTTGTGTTACTGATGTTTGCAGTAGACGTTGGTCTGTGGCTGGCGGGGTGGCGCACACACACGCTGGCCCCTCCTGGTAGCACTGGTTTGCATTCGTTTATGTTCCCCCCCAGAGTCTGTATGGGCAGATGTGCGTGCCCCACCGGGCACTCTCCAGGGGACTCTCAGTCACAGGATTTCATATGTTGTCATTGTCCCACTTTCGCATTTTTGTACATCAGTGGATTTTTTATATTAAAAGGTTGAGCCAAAGCCCCCAGTGTTTGTATTTTGAAGCCAAGCTTCACTTCTAAAGTGCCTACAGAGTCTGTAAGGAACACGCAGCTCTGCCCGAGTTTGAAGCCACCGTTCCTCCTTCTAATGGGAATGGCGCATACGGAGGTGGTCGGAAGTTTTAACGTTTTAAAATGTTAAATAAAAGACTTTGCATATTGAACCCTTTATCCCTGACTTGTGTTTGTCGGGAAAGCTTTCTGCAGTTTGCCTTTCAGTTCTGGTTCCCAGCGCCCCCTGAGGAGATAAAGGCTGCCATGTGACCAGTCCTTGCGCTGTGAAGATTGTCCTCACACTACCAACTGTTTCTTTGTTTGTTGTGTTTCTTTTTGTTTTGTGATGTCAGAGTGGCCACTGACGTTCATAGGAAGTCTCTTAGTCACAAAATTCTTCACCGTGTGACTCAGTCGGGTGTAAACCCAGGTAGTGCTGCTTAAAGGTCCAGAAAGTCTCACTCTGCTGTAGACTCCTAACCTTTCCCACACCTGACACATTTGCAGCCCTGTCTGCCTGGAGGCGGGAGGAGGGAGTAGGGAGGTGCTGGAGGGCAAGCACGTCTCCTTTAAACCAGGATTTGCCTGGACCCTAAGTTCCTGGCTTTGCTCTGCAAACCTTAGGAGGCAGGGTTTCCAGTATTGAAAGCAAAGCCAGATGTTTCTTCTTTTACTATCGAGGCAGTTAGGGAGAGTACGGTAAGCCATTGTGTTTGAATCACAAAATACTCTTAATTCCTTGTTCTCTTCTTTTTTATAATATTCTTTTTTAAATATATATATACAAGAGGTTGGCCAGCCAGGGAGGGACCACAAGAGGGCTCCAGGGTGTGTCCGGCCTGTCTCGCTCAGTCCCCGATTGGCCGGACCCCAGCAGCAAGCTAACCTACCAGTCAGAGCATCTACTCCCTGTTGGTCAGTGCATGTCATAGCAAGCAATTGAGTGGCCTTAGCATATCATTAGCATATTACTCTTTGATTGGTTGAACAGCCAACCAGATGACAGGCCACTTAGCATATTAGGCTTTTATTATATAGGATATTTACTGATTTCAGAAAGGAAGGTAGAGAGATAGAGAGAGAGAAACAACAATGATGAGAATCATTGAGTGGCTGCCTCCTGCACGCCCCCTACTGAGTGGGAATTGAGCCCGCAACACAGGCATGTGCCCTTGGCTGGAATCGAACCTGGGACCTTTTAGTCCGCAGGCCGAAGCTCTGTCCACTGAGCCAAATCAGCTAAGGGCTCCTTGTTTTCTTCTTATATTAATGTGAAATCTCAAAGTAAGCAAGTTTTCTCTGTTGGGCTAAATGCACTCTTTCTCTATTTGTTCCACTAAAGAGGGAATCAGTTCATACTTGAATGCTAATGGAATGGGAATAGGGACAATTGATCTTCTGAAGGCCTCCCCTGTGGAGAACAGTGCCATCCTGAAGCCATTAACAAGGCTTTAGCCTTCAAGCTTTGGATATGGGCTCTTAATGAGCCCAACAGAGGGAGAAACTTGGCAAGTAGCAGCTAACAAGTGCTTCCTTGGACCTGTCTGGGAGGCTTCTGTTTTCTCAGGAGCCAAGCAGAGCAGAGGCCATAAAATAGCCCCGTGTGGATGGCTACTTCCCTCACTTTCCCCTCCTCATGGCCTGCAGAGGCTGGGGAGCTGCTCCCAGCATTCATTCCCTGGCTGTTTACAAACCAGCCCTCTGAGGACTCCTCTGGGATTCCAGCTGCCCGAGGGTAAACTATCTTGTCCTCTCGCCCTCACCCACCCAGCTTTCTCCTCCTCATATACTCATGGGGAAGAAAACGTTAATATTTTTTCTCACTTGCATACTTTCACACCAGTTTTGTGAAATTACTGTTTTTCCTCCTTTGCTGGATGCTGTAATTGGAAGCCACAACTACATTTCTCTGAAAAGTAATCAAATCATGTATTAATATTGAATTGCTCTACTAGCCAATAATAAAAAATATATGGCAATAGGTATTCTTTCCCAGTTTTTATATTCTCTAGTTTAGTGCTGAAGCATAGGACTTAAAACTGGGAGGTTGTATTTGTAAGTATAATGAAAAGCCCTTTGAAAATGTAAGAACTACCAGAGATGTTTAATTTAGTGTTTTAATGGAATTATAAGCTCTCTGAAATCTGGGAAGGCTTTCTAGGATCCATTACGAGTGAACGGAATCAAAAAGAATAAGAATCAATAAAACTTCAAATGAGAATTTGACAATGGGATCATCTCTTGGCTGTTACTAATCCACTTCATTACCCCAACTATTGGGTCTAGATGGTATTTTATTTTTTAAATATATTTTTATTGATTTCAAAGAGGAAGGGAGAGGGAGATGGAAACATGAAGATGAGAGAGAATCATTGATCGGCTGCCTCCTGCACACCCCCTACTGGGGATCGAGCTCACAACCCCGGGCATGTGCCCTTGACCAGAATCGAACCCGGGACCTTTCAGTCCTCAGGCTGGCGCTCTATCCACTGTGCCAAACCAGCCAGGGCTCAAAACGGTATTTTCAATGCCTGTACTCAGTTCTGGTCCCAGATCTCTGTCCCACTGGACACTTGTACTTGACTGGCCCATCTTTCAACTTACACTTATAGCAGTTCCTACAAGCTTCCCTCTCAACCCCCGCCTCCTCCCAATTTCACCTTTTCTTTGAAGGCACATTCACATAGAGTTTTCATTTTCCCACTGCATTTGGTTACTTATTAGTTCTGCATTTGCCACCATCCTTCTATTGCCACTGCCATCACCTAATCCAGAAGCTCATCCAGTGGCTCCCTGTCGCTAGGGTGACTGTTGCCCTGCAGCACGCCAGTCTGTGCCTCCTTTAGGCCTTTGCCACCTATTACTTTATTTCAGCGCCCCCATCACTCTGAGAGTATCTGTTTTGGACTATACTTTTTTATTGTTAATCCTCGTTCAATATTTTTCCATACATTTTTAGGGAGAGTGGAAGAGCGAGGAAAAGACAGAGAGAAACATCAATGTGAAAGAAACACATCAATTGGTTGCCTTCTGCACGAGCCCCGACCAGGGCCCGAGCCTGGGAGGAGCCTGCATCGTAGGTACATGCCCTTGACTGGAATCAAACCCAGGACCGCAGGCCGATACTCTATCCACTGAGCCAAACTTGGACTATACATTTTGTTTACCCTACACATTACCTATGTGTGAAGTTCAAACTTGGAATTTAGCTAACATGAAGCACCCTTGGGCTGTACCGCTGTTTTCCCACTTACCTCATACTCACATTTCTGCTTGTCTGAGTCTCGCTTTCTTCACAGTTGTTCTTCCTCTCTCACTCAGCATTGGCAGCCTTGTGTTACTGGTGTAAGTTTATGGATATGGCCTCAAGTTCCACCCTCACATCGTGAGCTCCTCCAGTGCATGTTATAGATCAGTGATGGCGAACCTATGACACACGTGTCAGAGGTGACACACGAACTCATTTTTTTGGTTGATTTTTCTTGTTAAATGGCATTTAAATATATAAAATAAATATCAAAATTATAAATCTTTGTTTTACTATGGTTGCAAATATCAAAACATTTCTATATGTGACACGGCACCAGAGTTAAGTTAGGGTTTTTCAAAATGCTGACACGCCAAGCTCAAAAGGTTCGCCATCACTGTTATAGATACTGCTCTCACCCGGCTGGCTCAGGGGTTGAGCGTCAACCTATGAACCAGGAGGTCACAGGTTTGATTCCCAGTCAGGGCACATGCCCAGGTTGCGGGCTCGATCCCCAGTGTGGGGCGTGCAGGAGGCAGCCAGTCAATGACTGTCTCTCACAATTGATGTTTCTCCTTCCCTCCCTCTCCCTTCCTCTCTGAAATCAATAAAAGATATATATATATATTAAGATACTGCTCTCTTTTTCCCTGTAGCATCTAGCAGCATAGACCGACTGTTCAGCATAACAATGAGTTGGAACCAGAGGCAGTAACTTAGGGTAGCATTATTACTGAGCTGTTATTCAGGGGCAGAGCATATGAATCATTAAAGCAATTTGTACTTCCCTGTTATTTACTAAGTACATTATCTTGGTCTTGTCAGATTTGAATCTGAAAATTTTCCCTGTCTATGGTTCCGTTTAAACAGCGTGTTCCCTCCTCATAATTGTTCATGTTAATCCTGTTTTCTTCCGTGTGGTGCCCTTGGACTCTTCTGTGTGCTCTTTCTCCATGGGAGAAGTACTGGTTTGATTTCTTAGGGAATCTCAGGCTTCTGAGAGAACCTAGTCTTGGAATAAAGGCTCTGTTATCCTTGAGTGCATTTGTTGGTCATTTGCACAAGTTGTTTCCAAGTCCAAGTGACCCCTTAGAACTTGGGGTATCTCAGCATCTGAGGCAGCCTTCTTATGACACCTGTCACTCTGTTGAGCTTCAGAAATGATCCAGCTGATTCCAGCAGCTGAATGGATTGTCCACATCCCTCAAGGCGCTCCTCCAGTCGGGCCAGCCTGTGTAGGCTGTGTTTTTTCCGGCTGAGTTTATCTTTGTCACTATCCTCTCTAGTTTACTAGGACTGTAAAGGAGTACCAGACCAAGAAGTGTGAGAAACTAGAATATGCAGGTGCTATCAAAAATAGTGAAGCCCTAGCTGGTTTGGCTCAGTGGATACAGCGTCAGCCTATGGACTGAAGGGTCCTAGGTTCGATTCCAGTCAGGGGCACATGCCTGGGTTGCAGGCTCGATCCCCCGTGAGGGGGCATGCAGGAGGCAGCCAATCAATGATTCTCTCTCATCATTGATGTTTCTATCTCTCTCTCCCATTCCCTTCCTCTCTGAAATCAGTAAAAATATATTTTTAAAATATAGTGAAGAGCCCTAACCGGTTTGGCTCAGTGGATAGAGCATCAGCCTGCGGACACAAGGGTCCCAGGTTCGATTCCAGTCAGGGGCATGTACCTTGGTTGCGGGCACATCCCCAGTAGGGAGTGTGCAGGAGGCAGCTGATTGATGTTTCTCTCTGATCGATGTTTCTAACTCTCTATCCCTCTCCCTTCCTCTCTGTAAAAAATCAATAAAATATATATTTAAAAAAATATATAGTGAAGACATTGCCTTAAAGTGTTCAAAGTGTCATTCTTTTTTTTTTTTTTTTTTTAAATATATTTTATTGATTTTTCACAGAGAGGAAGGGAAAGAGATA